GCAGGGGGACCCCCAAGCTGAGGCCCCCTCTCCTCTTTCCGCCCCCACCACCCAGTTCCACGTGGTGATCGGCTCGAGGGCAGAGGAAGGCCAGTACAGCCTCAGTTTCCACAACTGCTACAACCTGTTGCGGGGACAGGAGCGGCCATTTGACATCACGGTGAGCAGACAGGATGGCGAGGCCCTGGCTGTGGCCAGGCGCGCCACACCGAGCTTGGCCTCACCAGGTCCCCCCAGCGGCCGTGCTGTGAACTGAAAACCTGAGGCTCAGAGAGGGGGGTCGGCCAGCTAGAGTGGGAGAGCTGGAGGCTGCAAGTCCAGAGCTTGCGCGCAACCCCACTGCCCCCACCACCCCCTCCCAGGTAATGATCCGGGAAAAGAACCCCGAGGGCTTCCTGTCCGCAGCGGAAATTCCCCTTTTCAAGCTCTACATGGTCATGTCTGCCTGCTTCCTGGCCGCTGGCATCATCTGGGTGTCCATCCTCTGCAAGAACACGTAATGCCCTCGCCATTGGGGGTGCCTCCTCCCCTCATCACGCCCTCCCGTCCCTGCCCCTCATGGATGCCCCTACACCCCCTTCTGTTCCTAACCCCCCTGCCAGGTACAATGTCTTCAAGATCCACTGGCTCATGGCGGCCCTGGCTTTCACCAAGAGCATCTCGCTCCTTCTCCACAGCGTGAGAGCCTGGGTCTGGAGCAGGGAGGTCAGGCTGGGGTCCGGGGTCGAGGAAGCTCAGCCGAGCAGTCCACCCCCCACATCTCTGCAGACGTTAGCCCTGGCCGCTCCGTGTGTCTACCTATGTGTCCATCTGTTTTACTGTTGTGGCCAGCTGTCCATCCACTACATCGGTCTGCCTATCCTTCTGTCTCGCTATGACTGTCCACCTGACCAGCTCTCATTGTCCACCGGTCTACTATGACCTTCCCCCACATTGTTGTGGCCGTGACTGCCCATCCCTCAGTCCAGCCATCCGTTGGGCAGTGACTGTCCATCTCTTAAGTCCTCTCACCATCCTGACTAACAGTCAGTTCAGTCAACTTTCTGGCGCCTCATTCGACAGTGATTGTCCCCGTTCCTAAACCACCACCATCCACCTACTTGTAATCACTGTCCATCTGTCCATCCATCCATCCACCTCCAGATCAACTACTACTTCATCAACAGCCAGGGCCACCCCATCGAAGGCCTTGCTGTCATGCACTACATCACACACCTGTGAGTGATCTCTGCGGGGCAGGTGGCGGGCAGCGGGCGGCGGGGGAGGGCTGCGTGCTGCCACCTCACCACACCGCCTCCCCCTCCTCTAGGCTGAAGGGTGCCCTCCTCTTCATCACCATCGCCTTGATCGGCTCCGGATGGGCCTTCATCAAGTACGTCCTGTCTGACAAGGAGAAGAACATCTTTGGAATCGTGATCCCGCTGCAGGTGACTCCGGGGCCCCAGGCAGGTGGCTGGTGGGCACTCGTCGCACCTGGGGCTGCCCACCCACCGCCCCCTGCCCTGCAGGTCCTGGCCAATGTGGCCTACATCGTCATCGAGTCCCGCGAGGAGGGCGCCAGTGACTATGGAATCTGGAAGGAGATCCTCTTCCTGGTGGACCTTATCTGCTGTGGCGCCATCCTCTTTCCTGTGGTCTGGTGAGGACCCTGTCCTGCCACCGCCACCCCCCCCATCATCCCCGCACCACCAGTACCCAGCTCAGACTCCGCCCCACATTCCCAGCGGACACAAGCGGAGTCAGTGCTGACCGCTCCCTTGGTTCCACCCCCATTCCCAGGTCCATCCGGCATCTCCAGGACGCATCTGGCACCGACGGGAAAGGTGAGGCCCTGCTCCCCCAGGACCCGCTGTCTTCCCAGCCCACATCCTGCTCCAGGCCCTTCATGCTGACCCCTGGATGGCCCTTCCCTCCCCTCTGACTGCCCCCCCTGCTCCACCCCCTTCTCCATCCCCTGGACAGGCCCCTCCAGATTAACTGCCCTGTGGACACTCCCCTAAATGCTCTCCCTGTCCCCAGCCCACCTCCACCCTTCTCCCCTTGGTTCTGCCCCCAGTCTCCATCCCCTGACCCCCCTCTCTGTGCCCGCTCCTCAGCGGCAGTGAACCTGTCCAAGCTGAAGCTGTTTCGTCATTACTATGTCATGGTAGGAACCCTGTGCTCACTCATGACCCAAGTGTTGAGGGAAGAGGGGACAACCAGCCGCTCGGTACACCCTCCCTGGCCCCTCCTGCTGTCCCTCTGAGTCCGGCAGCTCAGCCCCTCTGCCTGCGATCCGCGGACCCCGCCCCAGGCGTCCCCAGTGGTCCCGGTGGTCTCGCCGCCCCGGTGGTCCCTGGGCCCCACGCCCACCCCTGTCCCTGCAGATCATCTGTTACGTCTACTTCACGCGGATCATCGCCATCCTGCTGCGGGTGGCCGTGCCCTTCCAGTGGCAGTGGCTGTGCCAGGTGAACGGAGCGGGGAGGGCGGGCCAGACTGTGCAGGTGCGGGGGACGGGGCGTGCGCCTGACGCTGGTGCTCGGACCCCTCGCTCCCCAGCTCTTGGTGGAAGGTTCCACCCTCACCTTCTTCGTGCTCACGGGCTACAAGTTCCAGCCAGCAGGTGACAACCCGTACTTGCAGCTGCCCCTGGAGGACGAGGAGGACGTGCAGATGGAGCAAGTGTGAGCCCGGTCGGAGTGGGCGGGGCTCTGGTGGACCCGGCTGGGGTTCTGGGTGATGTGAGCCGGGCCTGGGCGGCAGGGGCGGGGCCGGAGGCTCAGGGGTGGACCCGGCGGGCGAGCCCTGGCGACACGGTTGGGCCTGGCTGTTCTGGGGTATAGTGTGGCGGGGCTTGGGCATCTGTAGGGGCAGAGACTGGAGGCGTGCAATGGGTGGGACCTGGGCAGCTCGGGGCTGGGTCTGAGGCTCAGTGCGTGGATCGGTGAGGCCGGGAGGGCGCGGCCTGGCGCCCTTCAGCTCCTGGACCGCCTCCTTGCTGTCTACCTCTAGAATGACTGATGCTGGGTTCAGAGAAGGCCTGTCCAAAGTCAACAAAACAGCCAGCAGGCGGGAACTGTTGTGATCATGCCGCCACCTCCGACCAGGCTGCTTCAGCCCCCTTCGTCCTTCTCCGGTCACATGTTCCCACTGTAGCTTCTGTCCCCAAGCGTGGGGGTGGGGGGGAGGGAGCCGGTGCGCAGGAGGCGCCCAGCTCCCTGGGAGCTGTGTTCCGAGAGCCCATTCGTAAGAAGACAGACGGCCTCCCCTTCCCAAGTATGGGGCAGCCCTGTCCCCACCCGAGACCGCCCCCCACTTGCAAATGTACAGTAAGAACCGAGCTGTTTTGCTACCCTAGTTTCTTGCCTTTCTGGGGGTTGAGTTCTAACACAGAGGTGGTGTTTACAATTTAGAAATCTGTTTTCACTGGGTGGGGGGAGGCCATGGTATCCATTGCTTTATACACACAATAAATATCAATTGAGCAACTGCCGTGCGTGGGCTCTATGCCGGGTGCTGAGGCCAGCAGTAAGCAAGACCTAGCCAGTCCCAACACTCAAGGGGCTCACAGCCCTGCGGGTGGAACGGGGGATTGGCAGAGGGACAGGGACAGGGGCATGTCACCAGACAGTTCTATCACAGAGCCCTGACTCAGCCTGCGAGTCAGGAAAGGTGAATAGAGAAGTGTGGATTTTGCAGGCCCAGACGAGACAGCATGTGCAAAGGCCGGAGGCTAGAAAAAATGTTTGAAAAACCCACAAGTGGCTCAGGCTGAAGAAAGAGTATAAGTAACTGTAACCAACATATTGCAACTGCTGTAGGCCACACCCTATTCTAAGGCTTTCGTGGACCATAACTCATTCAAAAGACTTTGAGGCACAGAGAGACTAAGTAACTTGCCCAAGGTCACACAGCTAAGGAGTTGGTGGGAGACTCAAAACGCTGGCCACCTTGCCGTTATTTTCAGGACGCAAAACGCTGGCCACCTTGCCGTTATTTGCTGCGTGGCCCTGGATAAGTGGTTTAACCTCTTATTTCCTCACATGTAAAATGCGGGGTGCCGAGTATCACCTGTGGCGCTGAGCATCCGGCTCTGTGATGCCCAGCAACATAGCCTGACACTTTCATGAACTGCCCTGAACCTTCAACGACCCCAGTTGGAGACGCAACTGTTCACGCAGCTGTAGGCAGACCCCCAAAGTGCGTTGTGTCCCCCCGCACTCCTTACCTCGCCCTTTAACTAGAGCACCCAGAACCACTTTTGAGGCTTTGAAAAATATTCCTCAGTGGGGGCCACAGGCATGGGACAGGGGTAGGGAGCCAGGCTGGAGTCAAGGTTTCCTGCAAGCGGAAACAAGGGTAGCTGGGGCCCAGATGAATAAATTGTCTGGCCAGACAAAGAAGGAAGTGGGAAAGCATTGCAGACTGAGGAAGTTGTGTGAGCAAGGTGGAGAAGCCCAGAATAGCTTGCAAGTTCCACTACAGGGCTGGCTGGGGCCAGTAGGAGGGCAAGAGCATCTGGCAGAAGCCTAAAGACAGGCAGACGTACTTGGACTTCATGCTGGGGCCCACAGACACCAAGGAAGAATTTAAAGGGACACAGCCATACAGGGTCGATGTTTTATCCACGCGCATGCTGGGTAGGGAGAGTCGTGGCTCCCCAAAGATGCCCACATCCTAATCCCCAGAACCTGTGAATATGTCGCATCACATAATAAAAGGCACTTTGCAGATATGATTTAAGTTGAGGATCTTAGAATGGGGGCTTGTTTTGATTATTCAGGTGGGTCCAGTGTCACCACAAGCGTCCTTATAGAAGGGTCAGGGCCAGAGAATGAGATGTGATGATGGAAACGGGCTGGGGCGATGCACTCGGAAGATGCAAGAAGGAGCCACACGCCAAAGAATGCAGGCAGCTTCTAGAAGCTTCAAGAGGCAAGGAACAGACTCTCCCCTAGGGCCTCCAGAAGGAACCACCCAGCCCTGCCGACAACTCCATTTCAGACTTCTGCCCTCCGGAACCATGAGATAATAAATAGGTGTTGTCGTAAGCCACCATGCTTCCGGTCATTTGTTACAGCAGTAGTCAGACCTTCACACAATTGAGGAGCATGAATTCTGGAGTCCGGCTGCCCGGGTTCAAATCCCAGCTCTTACCAGCTAGGGGGTCTTGGTCGAGTGGTCAAAGCCCTCATTTCCTTCATCTGTAAAATGGGGTAGAAATAGCACCTATGGCATGAAGAATAAACCAGCTCAGACACATGAAATAGGGTGCTGTAAGCTGAGCCTCGGGGAGACATGCGTGTCGGTCACACATATTCATGCATCATATAACTTTATCAAAGAAATACAAAGGTGTGTTTTAGAAAAAATCCCCGGGTGCTGTCGAGTAGACGAACTGGCAGAGGTGAGTCTACAGTAGGAAAGACATGGGTAGAGAGAAGGGACAGGCTGGGAGAGAATCCAGGGGCTGGTGAGGGCTAGACAGAAGGGGAGGGGCGGGGAGAGGGGGCGCTCTGGCTGGGAGGCCTACTGGGGCTGTCACTAAAATCAGACAAGAGGGAGGAGGAGCAGATGTTAGTAAAAAAAAAAAAAAAAACACACACCGTCAAGCATATCCAGCGCTCACTACATGTAAGGTGCCAGGCTGAGCATTCTGTTTGCCTGATGGATATCACTGGCTTGTCACCCAAGACTCAGAGGAAGGTCCCATGACCGCATGTCCAGTGCATAGATCAGGAACTGAGAAGTCAAAGTTAGAATCAAGACTTCTGCCTGCTGCATCCTCCCAGGATGCGGGTACCTGGTGCCAAGTCTTCTGCTGAGTGTGCATAGGGTAGACGGATTGATTCAACCGGGTCAAGGTTACCTACCAGTTAATGAGTAATGGGGGCATTGGGGAGGGAGCCCAGGCTGTGTGGTGGAAGGAAAGGGACTTCGCTGTGGGTCCTGGAGGGAAATTCTCAGAAAGCAGTGTAGCAAAGAAGGATCCTAACCTGGAAGTATGGGGCTTCTTGCTGTTCCCAAGCCTGGCAGCGCCTCTGTGGGAAAAGGGTGGGGTGTGGCAGAGAGATAAGTGCACCCAGACAGGCATGGGGTGGGGGAGGGGCACCCAGGCCCCCCACCCAGAAGTCCTCTCCACTTCCTCTTCTTCTCTGCTTGCAGCCCAGCTAGGGTTTGCCAGACAAAACATAGGGCGCACAGTTACATTTGAATTTCAGATAAATAACAGGCACTTCGTTTGAATAAGTGTGTTGCAGACCACCCACTTAGCGTCAGCCCAGGCAGCCTCGCTCTCCCGCCCTTCACGCCCAAATGCTGGGCTAGGTGGGCCACTAACTGGAAGTCCCCCACATGCTGGGCTAGGTGGGCCACTAACTGGAAGTCCCCCACAAGCAGCCTTCCCGGCCCCCTTTCTTCCGGTTTATCTTGCCCGCCATCCCCCTCCCAAACCTCAGACACAAAGGCACATCCCGGGCAAACGCAGGAAGAATCCCTCCTGTCACCGCTCTCTCTCCCAGCAGCACCTTGCTGCCTCTTCCCCTGGGGCTCCCTCTTCTGCCTAGGGCTCCCTGAATTGTCAAAACGGCAGGAACTATCATCAGCCCCATTGTCGAGATGGATTAACTGAGGCTCTGAGAAAAGAGGCACCAAGCCTTGCAAGGAGACAGAGGCCAGGCCGGGAATTTCTTCTCAAGGTTGGCAAAGCACAGAGCCTGACCGCCTAGGGCTATAATGAAACCAGGAAATGGGGCGGGGGTTTAGGGGTCTCAGAGGAGGAAAAGAGAGGAAGTATTGGGCAGCAGGGGGATCCTCACAGGCACGACCCCTCCCACCCCCAGTTTCAGAAGTTGAATCCCAGTTCTGAAGGATATTTGCACTCCATCTCCCCTTCCAAAGAAAGGATGTCGCAATCGGAGCAGAGGCCAGGTTTGTTGTGTTTCCCCACACCTCCGCGACTCCGGGCATGGGCAGGGCCTGGAACAGAGCGTGGTTTACGGGAACTCCGAGCCCATACCCCGTTAACCCCTTCAGCCAGCCCTCCAGGAATCAGGATCCCCACCCCCTGTGCCTCACCCTACATGGTCAACCGTGCTCGAGTCAGAGAGATGCAAGTTAAAATGACTCTGAGGCAAAAATTCAAAGCTTCGCCAACACTCCCTCATGGCGGGGTGCGGGGAGGTGGGGGAGAAATGGACAGTTTCCTGCAGGGCCGGCTGTATGTAAATTAGTGCAATTAGGAGGGGAATTCGGCGCTATCTAGTGAGATTAGTAATGCACACAGACTTTGATCTGGGTTATCGCCTTTCCTTAGAATAACAACCCTATGAAGCCGATGCTGTGATGACCCCATTTTAATGGGCAAACTGAGGCTCAGAGTGGTTCCCAGGAGCTTGATATCACTAATACGTGTCAGATCTGGACAGTGACACAGGCTCAGGACACCTGGCTGGCGAGAGGACGGTTTGCAACCGCAGCAGTCTGTTCCCCAGGTTGGAGGGGGGTGACTTTCACTCAGTGTAATAGGAGGCAGTTCCTTTTAAGCACAAAGAAGTTCTTTGTGCACTGATAACCCGCGATCTCTAAGGCATATTATTTATGAAAAAGCAAGGTGTAACTTAGGGAGACCAGGAAGAATATCATGTGGAGCACACTAATATTTGTTTTTATAGTTTTTGAAAATTTGTAAATGCATAAGATGTCTTTGGGAAAAAATACGAGATTTGTTTGCACGGTCACGTCTGGGACCTGAATGGGTGGCAACAGCCACAGGAGGAAAATCACTTCTTCTCTGTATGTTACTTGTACTTTTTAGGTGTTAAACCATATGAATGTGCTATAATTTTAATAGTAATAATAATATCCTAAGAGAATGTTTATATAAGACTGAAAAGCTAGCGTTGGGGACTTTCCTTAGTGATGACATTTTTTCACCATTATAATCATTCAGGCATCCTTAAGGGAGCCGAAGCCTCCCTTGGAGAAAACATGTTCACCTGGAGTGAACTCCTACTCATACTTGAAAGCCCAGCCAAAATGTCTCCTCCTCCAAAAGCCTTCCGTGACTCTACGAGAAGCAGAGTGCTTTTTCTCCACTGGGGAAGACACTCCACAGGGCTAGGGGTGTCTTTGCTGGACGCTTTTCCTACCCCAGCATGAAAGACTCTAGAAGTGAGATTCATGAACAAAGCTGGACTGGGGGCCAGCCCCAGATATCTGGGGTGGGGGGCTCCCTGGCCCTCAGTGTCCCTCCACTACAAAGTGGGTGTAAGGAGGAAAGGTCCGTGTTTATCAGCGGGCCCTGACCCTGAGGGAGGCCAGGGCTGGGGGCAATTACGCTCATGTGGGAGGAGGGCATGTCCTCAGGTTACTTACCCCAGGACGTGCTGGCCCCAGGGATTGGGAAAAAAACGTACTATTGTGAAATCTGGGGCAGCCCCAGGGTGGGGAGCAGCCGCGGGGAGCCGAGGGCTGGGCTGAGGAGGAGAACCAGGAGCCAGATAAAAGGCAGCCTCTAGCGGGCTCTGCTCACTCCTCCCTGTCCTCTCCCTCCGTCCCTCCGTCCCTCCGTCCCCTGTCCCTGCACCATGGGGCCTGCCTTAGGTCCCAGCCTGCTGCTGCTGCTGCTGACCAGCCTCCCCCTGGCCCAGGGGGATCCCATGTGAGTAGTCACGACCCCACCCCATACAAGGTGACTTCTGAGGTGGAAGTGGGCATTTGTGGGTTCAGGTCCCTGTGGAATTCAGGGTGCGTTTGGGTGTCTGTGAGGGAGGGGTTAGCAATTTGGGCTGCCTGTGACTCTGGGAGTTTGCAGGCTGGGTGTATGAGGGACTCCTGAGGCATCATGCGAGGGGGAGACTCGGGCACTGTGTGATGGGGGGCTGGCTGTTTGTGAAGCTGGGAGTCTGTCAGCTCAGGGTGTGAGTGGCACTCAGTGGTTCTGTGGGGGGGTGGGTTTGGACTTTACAAGATTTGGGAGGAGTTTGCGGTTTGAAGACATGGTTTCAGCATTTGTGGAGATGTGGTGTGGGTTTACGTCGGCTTGCGGGGGATGGATTTGGTTATATTTATAGGCCTGGGGCGCTAGAGGTTTAGGTAGAGGCTTGGGGTATTCAAGGATTTGGGGTTTAAAGGTTTGGGGCATGCGTTTGGGGGCGTATAGTTTGGGAGTCTGAGCTTGGGGTGTCTAAAACTTTAGAGATTAAGAGGGCTTCAGGAGTACATATGTGGGTTCTCCGATTGTGGGTTTGGAAGTCTAGAGACTTGGGGGAGCTGACGGTTCTGATTTTGAGGTTCAGAGGTTGATGGGACTCAGCTCCTGAGCCGTCGGCCGGTCACTGGATCTCCTCCGGGACCAAGGGCTGGGGCAGAGCGCTGACCCCGGCGAGGGCTGGAATGTGGGGTCCCTTGGGACGACCCCGGGCCCCTCTCCCGCAGGTTCTCGATGATCATGCCCAACGTCCTGCGGCTGGAGAATGACGAGACCGTGCTGTTGGAGGCCCACGACGTGCAAGAGAACGTCCCCGTCACGGTCACCATCCAAGACTTCCCGGCCAAAAAGCAAGTGCTGTCCAGCGAGAACACGTTGCTGACCAAAGCCAACGGCTTCATGGATACGGTCACCGTCAAGGTGGGCGCATTCTGGAGCCGGGCCCTGCGGGCACCCCGCCCCTTCCGAGAGCCTCCCCTCTCGGAGCTTCTCCCCCTCGAGCCCCTCCCCTTCCAGTCCCGGCGTCTCTAAGCCCCTCCCCTTTCGAGGCCCCTCCCCTCGTGAAGAGCCACGCCTTCTGACCCCAAGCTCCTCCCCCTTCTGAGCCCCTTCCCCTCTAAGCCCTTTCTTCCTTCAGAGTCCCTCCCTCCTCTGAGTCTCCTCTCCTTCCTGAGCCCCCCACCCCGTCCTCTGAGACCCCTCTCTAATTCCGCCTTCCCTTGCCCTCTCTGACCACTACCCTCTCTCTTGCCTTTGCCCCCTCTCCGAGTACACCCCTCTCCCCAACCTCGAGCAAACTGGGTAGCCCAGGAGTGATGGGCAGGTGTGGGCCCAGGTGAAGGCCAAGAGGTTGGGCCGCGGGCAAGGGGCCCTGGAGCAGACCCCTACTTATGTCCTGGTCCATGCCTAGATCCCGGCCAGCAAGGAATTAAGATCAGAGACGGGGCAGAAGTTCGTGACTGTCCTGGCAACCTTCGGGAACACCCCGGTGGAGAAATTGGTGCTGGTCAGCCTTCAAAGCGGTTACCTCTTCATCCAGACGGACAAGACCATCTATACCCCGGGCTCCACAGGTAAGGGGGCTGGGGAGTGGCTGGAGAGGACAAGGGCAAGGGCAGGGGACACCGGGAGGGACAGGGCCTCACTGAGCTGTCCCTTTCTCTCCCGCCACGTCCAGTCCTCTACCGTATCTTCACTGTTGACCACAAGCTGCTGCCCGTGGGCCGGACCGTTATCGTCAGCATTGAGGTACCAGCCAGGCGGGGGCCCAGACATGCCCGGGTCAGAGACTTGGGAAGAGACAAAGATAGAGAGACAGGGAAAG